GGTAAAGATGACGGCTGAATGTGATAACATTACTGTGTTTGTGTTGTTTGTGGGCGTCATGTGTTTGTTACAGAGCCTTGAAGAGATCCCAGCATGAGTGTTTGTGACCCGTGTGACAGAACCTCCACGTGTGGGGGGGGGAGGGGGGGGTAGAGGGGTAAACTGTCTACAGCCCAAATGACGACAGGAAGAGAGATCAGGCTCTGTTAGGAGAAGAGTAGGTCATGAGGAGCGCCCGCGCGTGCGTGCATGCTCACACACACACACACACACACACACACACGGGGTTCCAATAACTAGTGCTCGATAATGCAGGCACCAATAGGTAAACTCAGATAGGGAAGTACACAATGATAACTTCAAAGAACACTAGAATGAGAGAACAATAACAACCTGGAAACACAGACGAGTCTCCAGAATGTTCAGAAATAACTTTTTCACTCCAAGAATCGTAAATAAGTAGAGGAAGTTGCTCAAGCCAATTCGTACACAGTTTTAAATGTAAATATGATACGAAAACGAGTGAGAAAAAAAACCCTCCATTGAACAAATGATGAAGTTGTTCAATCATTGAACAAATAATGACGTTCAATCATTGATGGGCTTGAGATCAAACGCTATAAAATGAATAGTACCAAATTCTACTTTCTACTGTGTCGATATTTGTACTATCGTCCACATAGTCACAAAAAGTACTATCTTATCATCAGATGGGTTGAATAGACTGAAGCAGTTTAGCCCCACCTCCCTACACCAGAGATGAACCCACGCAGAGAGGACGTGACCAAGATGTATAAAATACTCATTGGCGTGTGTGAAGGCCTGATAGATATACAGACGGACATAGAAGAGACCAATAGATGCCACAGATGGTAAACAATCAACACTGAAGAACAATATTGATGTAAGTGCTTACCACTCATTGTAGCTTTGTATACCCCGCCTCCTGGCCTCATTGTACCTCATACCCGGCTCCTGGCCTCATTGTACCTCATACCCGGCTCCTGGCCTCATTGTACCTCATACCCGGCTCCTGGCCTCATTGTACCTCATACCCGGCTCCTGGCCTCATTGTACCTCATACCCGGCTCCTGGCCTCATTGTACCTCATACCCGCTTCCTGGCCTCATTGTACCTCATACCCGGCTCCTGGCCTCATTGTACCTCATACCCGGCTCCTGGCCTCATTGTACCTCATACCCGCTCCTGGTCTCATTGTACCTCATACCCGGCTCCTGGCCTCATTGTACCTCATACCCGGCTCCTGGCCTCATTGTACCTCATACCCGGCTCCTGGCCTCATTGTACCTCATACCCGCCTCCTGGCCTCATTGTACCTCATACCCGACTCCTGGCCTCATTGTACCTCATACCCGGCTCCTGGCCTCATTGTACCTCATACCCGCCTCCTGGCCTCATTGTACCTCATACCCGGCTCCTGGCCTCATTGTACCTCATACCCGACTCCAGGCCTCATTGTACCTCATACCCGGCTCCTGGCCTCATTGTACCTCATACCCGCCTCCTGGCCTCATTGTACCTCATACCCGGCTCCTGGCCTCATTGTACCTCATACCCGGCTCCTGGCCTCATTGTACCTTATACCCGGCTCCTGGCCTCATTGTACCTCATACCCGCCACCTGGCCTCATTGTACCTCATACCCGACTCCAGGCCTCATTGTACCTCATACCCGGCTCCTGGCCTCATTGTACCTCATACCAGGCTCCTGGCCTCATTGTACCTCATACCCGGCTCCTGGCCTCATTGTACCTCATACCCGGCTCCTGGCCTCATTGTACCTCATACCCGGCTCCTGGCCTCATTGTACCTCATACCCGCCTCCTGGCCTCATTGTACCTCATACCCGGCTCCTGGCCTCATTGTACCTCATACCCGGCTCCTGGCCTCATTGTACCTCATACCAGGCTCCTGGCCTCATTGTACCTCATACCCGGCTCCTGGCCTCATTGTACCCCATACCCTACTCCAGGCCTCATTGTACCTCATACCCGGCTCCTGGTCTCATTGTACCTCATACCCGGCTCCTGGCCTCATTGTACCTCATACCCGGCTCCTGGTCTCATTGTACCTCATACCGGCTCCTGGCCTCATTGTACCTCATACCATAAGATGCCAAGCTTGGAGAAGAAACACAAAACGCTGAAGGAGAGAGAGAGAGAGAGAGAGAGAGAGAGAGAGAGAGAGAGAGAGAGAGAGAGAGAGAGAGAGAGAGAGAGAGAGAGAGAGAGAGAGAGAGAGACAGAGGTGTCGACCGAGAACTCGTTCAGGAGACATCGTAGAGGTGAGGAATAACTTCAACAGCTAACAGAGGTTAAGAGGACGGGGCCCAAGAGCTGTAGCTTAACTTCACCAAGCAGAGCCGGCTCTACAAGGCTGGTAGGACCCCCCCCCCCTCTAGACGTCCCAAGACTATAGAGGAAGTTATCAACAAGAACCTTGAATTGTCTCCCAGGAGGACGGGGTGG